TGAGAGGTGGCACGGAACGATGATATATTGTGCCTTCCTTGGGCTTGCAGCACTTGTCAATGTCTTTGCTATCAGAATCATGCCTCTGATTTTGCATGCGACATTCGCGCTGCACGTCGGATTCTGGATCGTGCTGATCATTGTCATCTGTGTTGTATCACCCAGCAAAAACTCTGCGGAATTCGTCTTCACCACTTTTATCAACGAGTCGGGATGGAGTAGTGACGGCGTAGCTTTCAGCATTGGTTTGCTGAGTAGCACATATGTACTTGCGGGTTCGTCACGCCCATCTTCAACAATTATACAAAACTGACAATACGACCAGGATACGATAGCGCGACCCATCTCACCGAAGAGATCAAAGACCCCGAACGCAACGTTCCGCGAGCCATGTTGGCATCAATCATGATCAACGGAGCATTAGGATTCGGATTCCTGCTCGTCATACTGTTTTGTATGGGCGACATCACCGAGGCGATGGAAACGACAACCGGATACCCCATCATCGAGATCTTCTATCAGATCAGCCGCAACAAGGCAGCAGCATCAGCCATGACGTGCGCCCTCATAGTCATAGCGGCATTGGCAACAGTACCTCTTCTTCTGACAGCATCTCGCATGCTGTGGTCTTTCGCCCAGGACGCTGGACTACCTTGCTCAAAAACGCTATCCCGTGTTGACAGCAAACATCATGTACCTCTACCAGCGATAGCGGTCACCGGCGTTTTTCTCATTTTGATCGGCCTTTTAAACATTGGTTCCACTACCGCTTTCAACGCTATCGTATCACTCGGCACAGTCGGTCTGTACATCTCATACTTGATGCCGATATTGCTCATATCTTACCGGCGGATTGCTCGTCCGGCATCACTACCATACGGTCCCTTTAGACTTGGAAGACTCGGTGTGGGTGTCAACCTTGTTTCTATCATCTACACTGTCTACGTATCTATTTTCCTTCTTTTTCCGCCATATCAACCTGTCACGGCTCAGAACATGAACTACGCGCCGGTCGTTCTGGGAGGTGTTCTGCTGTGGAGTGCTGTGTGGTGGTTTGTCAGAGGGAAGAGGCAGTTCGTTGGGCCCGTGTTTGATACGATTGAAGGCCGGCCCGCACTGGATGATGCGAGAGTTTAGAGGCGACATTGTCGCCGTCAGATTTCGTCGAGATTTGCACAAAAATATCATGGTCAACAAACGAGGGAGCAATACTTGATAGACTTCGTGATTTACTCGTGTAGTGACGTCTATCTATCAAAGCTACAAACGAGATCGGCCAATTTGAGAAGTAAAGAATATACAGAGAAAAGGAAGTCCCGCGTTTACACACGGCACAGCTTGCCGTTCTCGTTCGGCAGGCCATCTACGCTCTCTACCTTCCACCTCTCGCTACCGACACCGGTAGTCGCAAAGAACACATCCTGAGGGTCAAGCTTCTTCTTCAATTCCAACAACTTAGGGTAATTGTCACCGAAGAACGCGTTACCGAAGTCAGGCTCGAGACGATCAGCCTCAGCGAGGTAGGATCCAGCGCCAGGGCTGATGTCTCTCCAGGCCTGCATATCGCCTGCCTGGAATTCCTTGCGGATCCTCAGGATCTCCTCAGCGGTGCTGTTGATGGGCCAGCGCACAGATTGCATGCTGAAAGAGACCAACGGGCGCCAATGAGTGTTTACGGCATTGTCGGTGTTGTATGGGTCCTTGGCTTGCATATTGAAGTGAACTTGGACGCGGTTCTTCTCGCTCGAACGGCGGATGTTCTCGTATACTTCTTGACGCTTCTCGGCTGTCTCGAAGTTGGCGCGAGGGAAGAGGCGCGATGCGGTCGCTACATTGGGCTTCTGAACGGCCTCGAGAGGGAAGGATGAACGCCACGCGTCGTAATAGTTGTCAAAGTGAGTGATGTTGGGGTCATACTTGACACCCAAGTCATCGAGCTTGTTGAACCAAGGCTGCAAGGGTGCAGTTGCTTCCTCTACGTTCTTGCCAGGTGCGAAGAAGGGTGAGAAGGCGAACGCAAAGGTGCCGTTAGAGGGGATTAGAGTCCAGTATGTGTATGTACCGGCATCGGCGTTGTCGATCCACAGGTCGACGTATGAGCGTATTGCAGCCCAGAACGTCTCGTTGCCTGTGTCCTTGGAGTTGAACCCAAAGCGGGAAGCTGTGACCTCGAGGTCGGGGTGGGCCTTGACGGTCACGGAGGTGACGACGCCAAAGGTGCTGCCTCCACCGCCGCGCAGGGCCCAGAAGAGATCGGTGTTGGAGGTAGAGTTTGCGACAACAAACTCGCCATCAGCCCTAACGACCTCCATGGAGAGCACGCTGTCAGCTCCAGTGCCGTACAATCCGGTCAATGGAGAGTGACCACCTCCTTGAATGTATCCTCCCATGACTCCGACCGTCTCGCCTTCGCCACCAACGACGATTCTGCCCTTCTCAGCGGCGGCCTTGTAGATCTCGAAAGCCTGCACTCCGACACCGCTCTTGAATGCAGGGCCAGTGTAGTTGAGCTTCTCATCGACGTACTCTTCGATGTACTCGATGTCCTTCATGTTGTGCGTCCAGATGCTGAGAGCATCCTTGCCACCACTTTTGCCGAGGAAGTCGTGGCCAGTGTTCTTGACGACGAGTCTGACACCCGAATTACGAGCAAAGTTGACGGCGAGCTGGACGTGCTTGGGTTCAGTCGCGTTGACGACATACATGGGGAAGCCTCCACGAGTGCAGCCATGCGAGTCGTAGAGAACTGGTGGGGCGCAGGTCAGGCCTTGAGCGACTGGAGACATCATCTCAATAGGGTCGATCATATGGATATACGACTTCTGCCATGCTGCCACAGTGTATTCGGAGCATTTTGCAGCGTTGTAATCTTCGCCAGGGTAGCACACTGCTGCCAATGGAGTAGGTGCACTGATGACGCGGTCGCCAGTGAGTTTGCTGAGCTGGGACCAGGCTTCATCGGAAGGCCATTGAGGGTCATCGGGGTAGACTTTGCATCTCGAAGAGTTCGTTGGTGTTGTAGCGTCGAGCGAGCCGGGGAGAAAGAGGGACCTGACTGCTGAAGTGACGCCTTGGAGGTCTACATCTACGTTGAGGGTGTTGGTTCCAGCCTTAGCCGAAAGGACGGGTGATGCCGTGGTTGACGTTGCAGCCAAAACTGTGAGCCACATAGCGATGGAAGCCATTTTGAATAGTTCGTCGGTGTAAAACGACGACTCAGTGTCTCACCGAGGGTACCAGTCTTTGGCAATTGATCGTCTCCCGTGGAACGGCTGCAGATCTACGTGTCTGTCAGAAAGTTTCTTTTTGCCATTGACGGCCGTTACTCACTGTACCTTTCCCCTGGGGCTTGCGGCTGGTCTGCGGATGACGGACCGTTGCGCACTGAGACGAGAAACAAGGCGATAGTCATAATGGTCATCTTACGGACTGACTCGATATAGGAGGCGTTGTCCAATAACCTGTGCTTGGCAGGATGTAGGCTAATGTTCTTTGCCCAGAGTGTGACCGCTGATCTTGGCTGGAAAGATTGTTGACAGCTGAGTTAACCGGGGGCGACGACATGGTATTCAAGTAATCACGGCATCGCAACCTATCCAGGCAATTCCTGAGTGTCCATGTATGCAGATGTTGCGTGGTACGGCGTATCTCACATGCATATTCTATATATTGGACCTATCGCAAGAAGCGATCAGCAATGATAATGCGAATTCTGCACTCGTGAGGCAGTCCCTGGAATATCGACTGTGCCCACGTGCGCTCGAATATGTCGTTGGGACTAGTCTCAGGCACATCGTTACTCGAGTCGTGAGGCTTGCCGCCCAGGGTCTGCCTGTTGGTGCCGGCGTAGCTGCCGGTAGTGCAAAGTCTGAGAGTCATGTACGCACGCAAGCGCGAAGCTGCCGCGATTGCCTGACAACGGACCTGCAGCAGTGGAGCTCACAAGTAGTTCTAAAACACGCGTTCATGATAACGGCTTGGAATGGTGTCAGTTATTTCTCGGCCATCAATTGCAATTGAGTGCAGTGAGGATGACTACGCGTCTGGCAGGAGCTGCGTCAGACGGGTCGGACAATAAACTAGTCCCGGGGGATCGCCTCCGTTAGCCACATGGCCGCCGACCTCCAAGCCTTCAACGCCAACAACGCCATAATCCTGAAGATCGGCATACTTACTTCTCCTAATCGCAAGTGGCTCAAAACATCGATTCGCTCACTTTGCAATAGCAATCGAAATCCCTAGTGGCAGTGGCTCAATTGTCCATGGTTGCGTCCAGACCATCGACCAGCCAACAACTGGGCGGACAGGCCTCCAGCCGGAAGATTGCGACCGTGTCCAGGGCTGCCCTTGACATGTCAGCCCAAATTCGGACCGTGAGAAACCGATTTGGACTTCGTGAGACGCTCTAGTCCTCTTTCTGGTCAAGCGAGAGGGGAAGACACGAGCGGGAGTCGACTACTGTTGCCGCGGCTGTGGTGTGCATAATGGACCGCCTCGCTTTGGACGACGCCTCTGGTTCCTGGCAGGTTTTTATCCTTGAGACGACAAGAGTCTAGAGCAGCGGCTGGTCCGAGGCAACCTTTCACCTCGCCGTGCAGTGACAGCATCCGTCTTGGCCACCAAACATCCCATCCTGACACCAAGGGAGTGTACGTGCGACTTCCCGCGTGGACGCGCGACATATACTAGTCACATAGCGAGGAAAACTCGAAGGCGTCCAGTGCGGGTACATTCGACTTTTCCTTGGGTGGGCCAATAACACCTACAATATCCGTCACACTTCAGATCCTCACTGTTTGCGTCGTTACTCCACGTTCGCTTCTCGGTGCGATCATCCGTCGTGGACCCACGATCTTCATAAGCCCTCTGGTTCATCCGGTTCACGATCCACAGGACAGGCCAACATTGAACTCCACGCTGTGGGCTTCAACGCCTGTTGCGCACCAACGGACTGAGCGCTCCACAGTCGCACGACGCTGGCGACAAACACCAGCAGGACTATGGTGGAAAGCCGACAACCCGAGGTCCTGGCCATCATCGGTACTTTCACAGTCGTCGCCTCTCTCACAGTCTTCCTCAGGGTATGGTCGCGGTACCTCGGCCGCAACTTTTGCTGGGATGACCACCTTATCTTGATAGCCTTTGTCCTCCTCATACTAGATACTCTGGCAACATGGATGTACATTGTACTGAGCGGCACCGGCTATCATGTCTATGATCTGCCCAAGAAGTCCGTGGCGGATCAGCTCGTTGCGATACGATGGAACTTCGCTGTACAGATGATGTACCACCCACGTACGTATATCGGATCTGCAGGACATTCCGGAATTTTGCTGACATGTGGCGTCTGCTTCTAGTCATGGGATTGATTCGAGCTTCCATTATCATGTTCCTCTTCCGCATGAAAGATAGTCGGCGGCGCGTACGATACCCGTTACACCTTACTTTCTGGCTGAACATCATATACTCCGTCGGGTCGACTATAGTCAATGTCGTGCAGTGCACGCCTCGTGCCTACGCTTGGTCCAGACCCGCCATGGATAGCATCGATGCCAACGGAAATGTTGTACCTGGTGGTACTTGTATCGACGCCCGTACCTTTGTACTCGTGTCGTGTGGTTTGTCCATCTTCATGGACCTCATCATCATACCAATCCCTTCTATCATGGTATGGGGCCTCCAAATGCATCGACGTACAAAGCTCTTAGTCGTCATTGTCATGAGCCTGGGATGGATCGCGACAGGCGTCTCAATCGGCAGATTCATCGTATACTACTACCGGTTTGCTCCCACCAACAAGGATCGCACATGGGATATTGGCATCGGAATCAGCATCGCCGAACCAGCTGTACACATCATGACAGCCTGTGCGCCAGCGACCAAGTGTCTCTTCCGAACCCTGTTCCCTCAATATGGCACCGGCCGGAACACCTCTTACTACGAAGACCGTACTGCGGGCACAATGCGACCGAGCACCAAGGTTTTCGGGAACTTCAACTTTGGGCTATCCAACAACCCAGATGACGAGATCACTATCCAGGAACTGGGGGGTGCCCCTAGGACTGCGCCACTTCCACCCGTCAAGGACGAGTGCGAATATGGATTGAAGGCAATGGGAAGCTTCGAATCTAAGGAGTTTGTTGCGAGAGGATTAGGGAGGAAAAAGAGCTGCTCAAAAACCGCATGCACAGAAGCTAGTGAGCCCGTAGAGGCCGAGCCAGAGCATTGCCTGGGGCAAGCTCGGTGATTGTACTTTGAGTCTGCGTTGATGAGCGATGATAGCGTTTGAGATACCAGGTGAAGATATTCACACTCCTTTAGCACATAGTAGTAATCGATGACGTCTACGGCCAATTGAGATTCGTGCGTATGATTGTTCCCTCGCGTTGGCCGGACTGGGAGTGGAAGGAGGCGGGGCACGCGTGGGCGCGCTGCCACGTGAAGGCCTAGCGCGATTTGGTGGGCGGTACCGAGACCCTTGCCCATGTGAGACGGAACAACAAACATTAGCAGCGACGCATTTCAGCACGACAGCACATGCAGCCACCATGAGGATTATAGAACTCGTAATCGATGTAGGCGACCTCAAACTTTACGGTAGTCGCTTTCTAACACGCGCACAGGGCTACAAGTCATACGCTGTTCGTACCGTCATCTCTGGCTGGTAGGGCTTGTTTACGCTCCCCGCACGCAACGACACGACTGACAGTGGACCAGGGACGAGAGCTTCAACTCAATTACGGGATTGAACGGATCCGGAAAGTCGAACATTCTCGATTCGATATGTTTTGTACTCGGAATCAACAACTTGAGCGTGGTGCGGGCGCAGAACTTGCAGGTGAGTGTGGACAGCAAGATGTACGCGATACGGGAGCGCTGATAGTACTGCAGGACCTCATCTACAAGCGCGGCCAAGCGGGTGTCACCAAAGCGAGCGTTACCATCGTGTTCGATAACCGCGACAAATCGAAGAGCCCCGTCGGCTTTGAGGAACATGCACAGATTTCGGTGACAAGGCAGATCGTGCTCGGAGGAGCGAGCAAGTATCTCATCAACGGACACCGCGCGCAACAACAAAGCATACAGAACCTATTCCAGTCTGTACAACTGAACATCAACAACCCGAATTTCATGATCGCACAAGGAAAGGTCATGCAGGTGCTGAACATGAAGGCCAAGGAGATTTTGGCTATGCTGGAAGAGGCTGCTGGAACACGCATGTTTGAGGACAGGCGGGACAAGGCATACAAGACCATGGCTAAGAAGGAAATGAAGGTGCAGGAGATTACGGAGCTACTGCGAGACGAAATCGACCCGAAGCTCGAGAAACTGCGGATGGAAAAGCGTGCCTTTCTGGACTTCCAACAGACACAGAGCGAGCTCGAGCGCCTTACGAAGCTAGTCGTCGCATACGACTACATACGATACAACGAGCGATTACAACAGTCTGCCGAAGACCTCGAAGCCAAGAAGCAAAGGGCGAAAGACCTCGACGCGTCTGCTGTGCGCATGAAGAAGGAGATTGAGAACCTCCAGGAGGACATCAAACAGACAAAGGCAACACGAGAGAAGGAGCTGCGCAAGGGCGGGAAGTTCCAGGCTCTGGAAGAGGAAGTCAAGACGCATTCGCACGAGATTGTCCGCCTGACGACAGTGCTAGACCTGAAAACGACGAGCATGGCCGAGGAGGTAGAACGGAAGGAGGGCGTCGAGAAGAGTGTCAAAGAATTGGAGAAGCTACTCCAGGAGAAAAAGCAGACGTACGAGAAGTTGCAAGAGAAGTACCAGACAGCCCACGCGGAGCTGGCGAAACAGACAGAGGAGGTAGAGAAGAAAGAAGAACTTCTGCAAACTCTACAAACAGGTGTGGCTTCCAAAGAAGGCCAGGAAGGCGGTTACCAGGGCCAATTGCAAGACGCCCGGAATCGCGCAAGCGCAGCCGCGACCGAGCAAGAGCAGAGTAAACTTCGGATATCACATCTTGAGAAGCAGATCAAGGAAGACGAGCCGAAGGCGAAAAAGGCGAAAGAACAGAATTCAGGGCTCCTCAAAGACCTCGAGGCGTTGAAATCCCAAGCTCAGAAGCTAGAAGCGGATCTTGCGAAGCTTGGCTACAGCGAAGGCCAGGAGGCCGACATGTATCAGCAAGAGTCGCATCTTCAGGCGCGCATACGCGAACTCCGACAACAGGCAGACGGCATGAGGCGGCAGGTTGCGAACATCGACTTCAGTTACAACGACCCATCCCCGAACTTCGATCGGTTTAAAGTGAAAGGTCTTGTCGCTCAGCTCTTCACCCTAGAAAAGGAGCATACCCGAGCAGGTACTGCTCTGGAAATCTGCGCTGGTGGCAGATTGTACAACGTTGTCGTCGACTCAGCTGCTACCGGCAAGCAACTTCTCGAGAACGGCAAGCTGAAGAAGCGAGTGACAATCATTCCACTCAACAAGATTGCAGCTTTCAAGGCGTCGGCAGAGAAGATTGGGGCTGCTCAGAGGATCGCGCCTGGGAAAGTCGACTTGGCCTTGTCGTTGATCGGATACGAGCACGAGGTCAACGCCGCCATGGAGTACGTCTTTGGGTCCACACTCGTCTGTGAGGATGCCGAGACCGCTAAGCGCGTGACCTTCGATCCAGCAGTGCGCATGAAGAGTGTCACTTTACAAGGCGACACATACGACCCTGCTGGTGTTCTGTCTGGTGGCAGCGCACCTCAGTCTAGCGGGGTTCTCATTACCCTCCAAAAGCTCAATGAGATTACAACAGAACTGAGTTCGCAAGAAGCCCAGCTTCAGTCGCTACAGGCCACCATGACCAAAGAGAAAAAGAAGTTGGATGCTGCTCGTAAATCAAAACAGGAGCTCGACCTCAAGAGGCACGAGATCAAGCTCACTGAGGAGCAGATTGGTAGCAACTCTTCCTCATCTGTAAGTGATGACTCCTGGAATGCGAACCTGGGGCTTTGCTAATCATGAATCAGATCATCCAAGCCGTAGAAGAGATGAAGCAGACCATTGCTCAGCTCAAGGAAGACATAAAAGCGGCAAAGACTCGCCAAGACGAGGCCAACAAGGACGTCAAACGTATCGAACGCGACATGAGCGAGTTCAGCAACAACAAGGACAGCAAGCTTGCTGAACTACAGTCATCGCTAGACAAGCTCAAGAAGGCTTTGAACAAGAACAGCGCTTCGATCAAGCCCCTGCAGACCGAGATGCGCGAAGCTATGGTCGAGTCCGAGCAATGCGGGAGTGACCTGGCGGCAGCACAAGAGCAACTTGAAGAGGTTCAGACCAATCTGCAGTCGCAGCAAGCAGAAGTGGACGAGTTGCTAGCTGAGCAATCTCGTGTACAGGTAAGTTCTCTAGACCGAGGTCACTTGTCGATGCTAATTTTGCTAGGACGCACACGACTTAGCTGCAGCCCACTTGAGAGACGAACAAGCGAAACTCACTGGGTTCGACGAAGAACTTCGCTCACTTGAAGACGCGATCAGGTCGAAGAACTCATCCATTACTGAAGGCGGTCTTGAACAACAGAAGCTCGGCCATGAGATCGAAAGGTTCCATAAAGAACAAGAAGGCGCAGCTAGCCATGTTAAGGCGCTCGAGAAGGAGTATGAGTTCATCGCGAGCGACTCCGAGCTCTTTGGACGTGCCGGCACAGTCTACGACTTCAAGGGCGTGAACATGGCCGATGCGAAGACCAGGCGGAAGTCGTTGGAAGAGCACTTCCAGCAGAAGAAGAACAAGATCAACCCCAAGGTCATGGCTATGATCGACAATGTTGAGAAGAAAGAAGCCAGCCTTAAGCGGAACATGTCGACAGTCATCCGGGACAAATCGAAGATTGAAGAGACTATCGTCAAGCTTGATGAGTATAAGAAAGAGGCGCTGCACAAGACCTGGACAATTGTCAATCGCGATTTCGGTCAAATCTTTAACGAGCTGCTGCCAGGCAGTTTCGCGAAACTGGATCCTCCTGAGGGCAAGACAATTTCGGATGGTCTGGAAGTCAAAGTCATGCTGGGCAAGGTGTGGAAGCAGTCACTGACAGAGCTGAGTGGTGGTCAACGGTATGCACTCACCCGTACTCGCCCGGATCACATGCGCTAACATTTTCTAGATCACTTATCGCCTTATCCCTCATCATGGCCCTCCTCCAGTTCAAACCTGCACCCATGTACATTCTAGATGAAGTCGACGCCGCGCTGGACCTGTCGCACACACAAAACATCGGCCGTTTGTTCAAGACCCGCTTTAAGGGATCGCAATTCATCGTTGTCAGTTTGAAAGACGGCATGTTCCAAAACGCAAATCGCATCTTCCGCACACGGTTTGTCGACGGTACTAGTGTGGTGCAAGCCTCGTCGGGATCATCTGGATAGGTATTGATGTTTGCGTAATGTGTTATGAGACATGGTTTGGATACCCGGTACGCATGGCTTGGTTTGCGGAGTGGAAAGATATCCGTGTGGTTCTGCATAGAATGGTGTTGGTGGAGTCTTGTTTATGACACTAATGTCCCGGTTGGGAAGTTGGTATGCACATCCGCGGCCCAAACGGCCACTTCCTCGTTAAGATGTCTTGTCGTCCATGTCTCCTTCCTGATGCGGAAACCGAAGATACAAGCTTCCTCTACACCCCAGTTCAGAGCAACACCATGTTTCCTACAACTGCGCGCTACCTATTCTTTCTGCGCACCCACCTACGATACACCTATTGACCTTACGAACGGTTTGCTAATCAACATACCGCCCGCTAGATGCGTGATCAACTGGGCGCACACGCTTCAGATACGCAACAGCGGCTTTCATCGCCGGTCCGCTCATGCTATCGGCACCACCGACCAGGGCCCACGCAATCGATACCCCCGCGTATGCCTCTATCACACCTTCGGGCATACCAGGGCTGATCGCACCCTCTGCACACGATCTCGGTAGCTTCCTGGGCCCGAGCTCGCCGACGTCTCTCACTAGACACTACACCTCACTTCAGGACCATGCCGACCAGATCGTTAGCACGGAGTCGTCAGAGAACGGCGAAGGAACTACCCCAAGACGGCACGTCGACAGACGTGAGGGGTTTAGCTGGGACCATCGAGCAAGCCTCGGAAATGAGAGCAGGCACAGTCGCAACCCAATGGCGATGGAGCAGGAACGTCCGAAAACACCTCCACCGCTGGAAGAGATAATTCGAAGGACGACCATCGACGATGCAGACCACATCCAAAACAGCAAGCTGCAGCATATCGACAGTATGGAGTCGCGCAATTCTGAAACTACAGCTCGAACGGGTTCCTTTTCCACGGAAACCAATGATTCCTACGTCCGCGATTACAGAAGGTCATCTATCGCAGCTTTTGCCAAGGGCATCGTACGGCACGTACCAGAATTCAGGATGCTTCACCTACCCGAAAGCAAAGATGACCAAGACCGGCGAGATCCCCAGGAAGGAAGTCCGCTTAGATTACACAAGAAGGACCGTATGCTATCATTCGCACCACTTCCCGTTGTTAAAGCGAAGGAGTCGTACGAGCAAGCATCAAAGCCATCCGTTGTTATCGAGGAGCCAACAACACCGACAAAGAATGAGAAGATTCCATCGGGCCCACAGTCTCCAACGGGAAAAGGCGGACTACGGGACCGCAGAAAGGTCAATCTCGATCTTTCCATGCCAACCGTCATTCCAGACTTACCTGCTCGCGGCCGCTCACCCGTCGATATTATGGCCAACCTCGGTGCTCCACGCGCGCGAAGTCCGAAAACACCGTGGATCCGCAAAGAGCAGCCGAAGTGGGAGCCAATGCCAATGGCCAAAGCTACGCCAATCCTCGAAGAAGACTACATTCGGGACAGCACCTCAGCGCTGAGGAATGAAAACCAAGGTGGCATAGGTCTCCTGCCCGATACCGATGCGATCTTCTCGTCGCAATCCCCGAAGTTCGAACGACCGCCACCGAAAGTAAGAGATCGGTGTTACATTGATCGTCCGCGATCGAAAAGAACGAGAAGTGGCAGAAGTGAGAAGAGTGGTACGAGTGCCAGCGATTCAACGGTGGCCAAGACACCAGATGGGAGTTGGACGCCAGCAGAAGAGAAGATATACAGAGAACAGCAAGCCCGAACAAAGGCAGAGTTGCAGCAAATAGCGAGCGAATCCAAGGCGACACGTTCGCGCCGCTGGTTATGGCTGCACAAATCGAGTGACGATGCACCTCCCTCTCCTGGACCAGCGCAATCTCTCAACCGCCGCTTCTCTTTCAATCCCTTCCGACGCTCAAACCGCATCTCCGACCAAAACGGCACAGAGACTACCAAACAACAAACTCCATTTTCCTTCTTCCCGGCTCGGGGCAAACAGGTACCTCCAGTAAAGTCGCTCGCACAGATGCATGCTCCGCCAGCCTTCATCCCACCCGGCCTCCAACGCGTACCAACTCCACCAATGTTCGACTCAAACGGCGAAGTCAAAGGCAAGCTAGCAGACTTCTTCTTCGACGTCCACGGCGGCGACGCAATCAACACACGCAACAAGCCCAAGTCCAGTCCAGGCGGCTACTGGGATTCCGACGCCCTACTCATGAGCCTAGCAAACGACATCGACAACCCCTCAGACGAAGCAGAAGACGAAGGCCCCTCCGGCCCCCGCAGCGATTTCATCAACCCACCCGTTGACTTTGGCCCGAGCAGCACCCTCACGGCAAGCACAAGCAACGAAATCGGCAATGCAGCAGGCTACCTCGGCGTAAAACCGCCAGCCAGTCCCTCCCTAGCAGCCACATCCCCCATGCTGGGCCACGACGTCTGGTCCCGCATCCACCAATCGCACTACCCCGACACCCCCGACGAACGCACTCTCGCAGCGCTCGCCCGTCAAGAAGAAGAAGAGCGACGCAAGTTTGAATGGCTCGTCCCTGAACACCTTCCTAATAGTCCGCTGTGCCCTCTGCATCCGAAGTATAGAGGGCCCAGCGCGGACTTGTGTTACTGGCATGGACGTAGGTCTGGTAATGAGATTAGGAAGGGGGAGTATGGGGGGTTGGGGACCAAGGGGGTTTGGAATAGCGCGAGTGGGAGTAGTGGATATAGCCAGCATGACTATGGTTTTGGGGATAACGGAGTGGCTGGGGGTATGCCTAGGCTCGCGGGGACGCCGAGTAGGGAGGTGAAGAAGAGGAGATTGATCAGCTTGTCTAATTCTTAAGTGCTAGAGTTGTTGTTGATGTCAAGTTGAAAGACCTATTGAGGGAGGTGAAGAGGATTAAACATCACGACTGAGAGAGAAATTATGTTTACATACGAGAAGATGAATTCTAGACATGCAATCACCGTCTACTAAACCGTCGTACCTCATGAAATGCGCCAGTGAAGGAGCCCGTCTATCGTAATGCGAGTGCGCTCGGCACCATGCGCCGTTGTCCCTCAAGACTTCTTGTACGCACTAGCAGGCTTCGCTATCTTGCCATGATCGTTCCACAACTGCTCCCTCTCACGGATGATCTGCTGCGCCCATGCCTTAACTTCCTCGCTTTTGATAACATCTGCGACCCACTGGAATTCCCCAAGATCTCGCTCGCACTTGGACTCGCGCTCGTATTCGACCATCTGGACGAGTAGCTCAATCTTGTCGATATCGTGCACAAAGTGCGACTCAGCCGTCTCGCTGTCCTCGTATTCCTGCCATAACGCCCTGATGTCCTGGCCGTTGAGTCCACCGTTGAACTTGCCCAGCAGGTTTGTGCAGATGTAGTCCATAGTTTCGGTCTCTCTCCTGCTCTTCTCCTCCTTGGCGATTCCGTCTACAGGTGTAATGTCGCCGACAAGCGCCTCAGCCATGTCGTGGACAACAGCCATGCGACAGCATCGCGCGATGTCGAGCTTGGAGCTTATTGAGGCAGGAGCCATCATGGTGAGGATGCTCATGCGGTACATGTGGTCGGATATAGACTCGCCATCGCCGATTTTGAAACGCTGCCATCCTGCACGTTTGGTCGTCTTTAGGCGCTCGAGGAGGTGGAAGAAGGGCAGCGGTGAGTCGGTGTTTTCGGCGTACTTAAGATCGTTCTCTGAAAGGACTTTGAGGTATGTTAGTAATGTGCGGATACAGGGTATGAGGGGTAAGAGAGGTGTCGCATACGGACGAGCTATCGCTTGTTCATGACATACCACTCTCGACCGTCCACTTCTTCTGTTCTGCTTTCTTTGCGTCAAGTACGCCGGCGTTGGTGTCGGGCACGCCGTTGACCTGGGTTGCTTCGTCGACTGTCATGATTGCTTGGTGTCTCGAATACGGTTCGGGGTCGGATGTTTATAGGAGTCCAGTGGGTGCGTGATTATCTTATAAACGGTGGCTGTTTGGTGAGTGAAGAAAGGTGGGACAAGTGACGAAAGTCAAGACAGGGAACAGAAGGCGCGAACGGACCTATCGATAACACCCGCCTTGGCAAACAACGCAAGGGTCCCGTCACACCGCAACACCACGCATGCACCTCAGGACTCAGGGACTTTGACCAGGATCGCCGCGCGAATGTATGCTCTGCGGTCGCGAACATGTCTCGACCGCCCTCAACCGCCTCTGCGGCCACCACGACTACCATGAGTGGTCATGCGCGCACCGCGTCGGTCAAGACAATTCCCAAACCTCAAGCAGTGAACCCAATAGCAGCGCCCGATATTCGCCTGTTCGTAACCAATTTGCGATTGTTGGATTTGGATTTGCGACCGGATTGGCCTGAAATCACGATACAAACTTTCTCGGCCAAGAATGCAGACCAGCGGCAGAGAATTGGCGGGGCTGAATGGGCACTATTTCGACTATTCGAAATATGGGATCCCAATGAGACAGCACAGGTATGCTGGGATGAAACCTCACGCTGATCTATGTCTGACTCAGCTACAGAAACTCCAACCCTTCTTCCCGCCACTCGAACCACTCCAATCGTTAAACCTCCGCGCTGCGCTATACCGATGTCTGAACGAATTGAAGAAGAACAGCATTCTGGGGAGAGAGTCGGTTCTTAGGAAGACAATGCTTGACGAGTGCAAGGGCGAAAAGTTCTACGAGATATTGGCTATATTTTCGAATGTCGTACTCAAAAAGGTTCTTGCAGCGCAAGACGGAGGAGACAGAGACGCCGTTGTCGCAAGAAAACTGGCGACAGCGTCAACGCTCTCAGCTGAACAGCAACGGTCGTTACTGCCCCTAGCGATCGCGCACAAGGCAGCGCTCGTCAACGTGCTGAGACAGAAGGAAGAGAAGAGGCTGAAGTACATGGAATTCCATGGTCTTCTGGACAAAAAGGCAGCAGATATCCGGGGTCGCATACGCAAATGCAAAGATACCCCTGGAGCTCAAAAGCCAGTGATACCACAGAAAGAAGCCAATGCCATCAAGAAACAGCTTAAGGACAACTGGGTTGGCAACCAACAGTGGCTCGACGTAATGCTACGCGGCGAGAACGTACAGGCGGACGATGCGTTCTTAAACAGCCGTTTCGACAAAGTCTTGCATATGGTGGAAAAAGGCAGAAAACTAGAAGACGTCGCGCCTGAAACTGGATTACTGGAGAATCTGCAAGCAAGAGTGCAAGAGCAGCAGGAGAGGTTACAAAAATGGAAGGCTTTCCATGCTGAGCTACAAAGCGACGAGTCAGGGAAGGAAATATCAGGAAGTGGACAGACTACGGCGCCAGTAAGAGAGTTCCGCTTCGATGACCACTCGCAATATCAATTGCCGTCGGCGAAGCACACCGCAGAATCTGCGAGTGTAAAGCGGCCGACTATGCGAACAGAATTTCAAGACATCCTGTCTGATATGGACAGTGAGCTAGCACGAGCCGCCAAAGTCAGGGCTAGTACTGCATCTACAATTATACATCATAGAAGTACCTCGACGGCAAAAACTGCTCGCCCACCACTTCTCACAAGGAAATCTACTCAGACGGAGACGATACGCAAAGCACCAGTGATTCCAGCTAAGCCTGTCAAATTACAGTCACCATCAAGACCAAACTCGTTAGAACATGTCCCGGTTCTACCCAGACCATCTCGACACGTTCCGGCAACTGCCACTCCAATCGACTCAGATGCCACACTAATTGGTCAATCATCTGCGTTGAGTAGAGCTACGACTCAGCATGACGCATCGCCGACGGAGACTGATAACGAGCGCACACCAGTACCGGAGACCACATCTGCTGTTTCCGAGCCCGTCGTCGATAACTCATGGTCTGAAGCTACCAAGACACTTACTAATTACTCGGAGCAAAAAACAGACCTCTCTCCTGAAAAACTACTTGAGCCATCGCCAGAATACCCCTCTGAACCACCAATCCCAACTTTCGATCCCCCAGAACTTAATGCTGAAGAAGCACTTGCCGACCAGATCATCAACTCCATCGGTAATGCGACCCCATCTCCGGTCAAGAAGCCCCAACCACGCATGTCCCTTTCACTCATTGAACGCACACGCATGACAATGGCACGGACAAACTCTTTCGAACCTGTTCCAGAGTCACCTGATCTACCGCTGCCATCTATGGGACCACCACCGATCCCTTCCATCACTGGAGATGAAGACGGCGACCGACGCGCAACACTGGCTGAACGAACCCGGCTCACCATGGAAGCCATGCAAAACAATCCCCGCCCCTCCGCCACAGCGAAGAAGGAACAGCGTAAATCTAGCCGATCATCACTCTTCCCCGTCAACCAATTCGATACACCACGGAACCGCAAGTCGTTCGAACTCCTAGAGCAGGCGAAGCTTGAGAGTATCGAGCGTACGCCCACAGAGCAATTGTTCAGTGACGAAGTGGATTACGACAGGGTGTTCAAGTCAAGACCGAAGATTGCCACAAGCCCGGTTTGGAGTCCTGAAGGCGGCGTTGGTGGTCAAGAGGAGTTTGGAAGTGACGGTGAAGATGTGGACGGTGTTACTGGTATAGATCTGGGGGATGTGGATCAGGACGATGACGGAGAGGATAGATTCAAGGAAAGCTGGATGGATAGCCCTAGTCACAAGAAGGGAGTGAGGAGTATGAGGTATTAGATACGAGAGGAGGTACAATTGTAAATGGCATATCAACATTGGGACCAGTCCTGTACGACCATTCATCTTCTCGTCCCGCTCACGACCAATCCTTCACCTCCACATATGTTCTCCGCTCGCCACGCTTATCCACTTCTCCGTCACCAGTCTCAATTCTCGTCTCATTTTGAGTTGGATCGAAACAGGTCATCTGAACAGTACCGTTACATGCTGGATACAACTCACGCGTCTTCATATCACAGAACATCTGCTCGGGCTCGGAATAGAAGTCAGGTCCAACACTACCAGTGCTTTGGCAGATCTCCACTGCACTTTGCGTGACGTCTTGACTCTTGACTAGTACTCCATCGAACTGCCTCTGGAGCGGATGATCGGGTGAAGTGCGCCGATATTTCGATTTGGGAGTATGGGGAAATGGCCAGTAAGATGAAGAAGATCGCGATCTTAGAAGCGACCGACGCTTTTCCGGCCCAGGCGGGCATGAGGGCCTTTCTTCACACTTATAATACCACCAATCGTCGTTAAGACACATCTGGTCGTACATGACAATGAGATCGTACCGTTGCTGGTACGTGAAACTGTCGTCCTCGCAGATGTGAGGGTCTGTCGTGCTGTCTTTTGCAGCCGGTATACATGCCGAGACGGTATCCAAAGGAAGACTTGCACCTTTAGCTGGCGCTGGACTGAAGATCTCTGGGCAGAGCATTGGGTCGAGCCTATCGTATGAGCCAAATCGCGCCAGCGAGTCGCACATTTGTGAGGGGTCTTCTTGCCATCCATGGAAGGTAGTGTTGTCGAGCTTGAAGTCGGGAAGATGAACTTGGAATCCTTCGTAGTGGGTCGCTGAGTCCCCGTCGTCGTCGGGCTTGTCGATCCACAGGCATTTCGGTCGCCCGTCTTGGGTCTGCCCGGATTCGGACTTGAACTGGATCTGTGTCGCGGATGGGGACCAGGAGTACTTGTAGTCTGGGTTGTGCGTGTTGCATATGGCAGCTACCTCGCCGGGGAGGAAAGCGTAAGTGTCGCTGCTAGTGGGGTATGTGACTGCTATAGCTGAGATGCAGATAGCGTCGGTTCCAGATGCGGATACGGTGATGTACTCGGCTTTCTCCGTTTCGCCTGGCTTGATGTAGTCGGCCCAGATGTCGGTTGGACTGTTCTGGCTAATGACCTGCTTGCATTTCTTGTTCTTGCTGTAGCCAACCCGGTCTCCGTTGGCGTTGAAGAGTGACACTTCCGGAGCGCATCCGCCGTAGCTCAACTTCTCGTAGATCTCATCCTTCTTGTTCTGCTCATCTGCATCTAAAGGCGGCAGACCGACCAGTACGTTGACCTTGGTTTGTGGTTTGGGATTGCCTTGAGCCATTCGGGGACCATGGGAGCAAGACTGATCATGGTGAAAGCTACACTGAGACCGAGCTCGGCGAAGAAGCCTGACATGGCGAGAGGTGATAAGGTGTACAAGTATGGAGCTTTGAATAGGAGGGAATGCGATAGTACAAGGTGTAGATAGTAGGATGAGAGTGTTTGAGAGCGTTTGGAATATTTGAAAGTAGTTGAAGGTTGTAGCGATAACTGATGTTGATGCTCTCATCGACTGTCGCTTTGCTCGCTTCTTATATCTGATTGTAACAGGGCATATAAGATGCATTCTCCACACAAGAGATCGCGACGTGTCCCTTTGGCCTCTCGTGTCCTGATGCAAGACCCTCTGGACCCCATTCCCATGATGATGGTGTCACCTACACTGCACGCGTCATGCTCGTTCGACTTTCGTGAGCTTGAGATGCAGGATGCCATCACTGTACTCTCAATTGCTCCTTATGTGTCCTTGTTTCTGCGTCATCTCACTGAATCTGTGGTGTCGGCAATTACATCGGCCCCGAGTCGCGACACTGAGCTTTCGATCTCCTTTCTATGCCGCAGCCCCAACTCCATTGCGATGCGATGAAAACGATCATGGCCCTCTTCTGTGACATAGAGTAATCAAATATGGCGCCGTATGTCATCACCTTTGTGCGGTAAGGGCTCTGCGCCGCCTCAACGTGCGGCGTCTGGACTTGCGGCGTGGCGACCATCGTCACTCACAAGCCGCCCCCGCAAGAACCGGAGGCGACTTAATCTACTGTTGAGTTTCATCTAGAGATATTCCCACCTCTTCGAAGAGCATACGTGACATCCAACACGCCGATCGTGTTCCACATAGTGACACTGCCGAACTTCGCCACGGGCCGTCCGCAGCAGATGGACAAAGAACCCAAAAACGGCCTTTGATAACGAGGGCTCATGACGTAGCATTAAGATGTGAAATCTGGCATGAGGCTAGATGTGTAAATCTGTTGTCTGATTCGAATGTGACCCCAGGAAAGTTCGGCGGGACGAGACACGTAGAGAAACGACGGAGGAAGACATAAGAGCCACCACTCCTGACCCGACATCCAGCATCAGAGTGATCTACTCCCTTCTTCACCCAAACTCTACTTTTAAGATCATTCTGCACATTACATCTTCGTATCAAAACACCATCGCCACTCAACAACACCATCACGATGCGTCACTCGGTGCCGAAGTCGATTGCTCTTGGACTGTTGTCCGCATATATCCTCCAAAGTAGCGGCAAACCGATCATACCGATCGCTCCATGCCAGAACGAAGTCGACTGTAGCCACCCATTCAACAATACAAACTGGCCTTATCTTGCCCGTACTGATGCTCTCCCGCCCGCACTCGACCGCAGAGCCAGTGGCGGAGGACGCCCAACTAAACCTAACGACAACAGTCCCAACGCACCTCATGTAAACCCAGATCAGCAGAACACTCCTTCTGACGCCGGCGATCAGCAGGGTGAGTCTGGGGGGTTCAGTGAGCAGCAAGAGACATCTGGTGGCTTTTCCGATTCGCAGGAAACCGAGGGAGGATTCAACAACAACGGGGATGACACGGGCGGTCCAGGCTCTAGTTCGCAACCAGCAGCCCCCAACCCGGACGCTCAACCAGCAAACCCTAATCCAGCCCCGAACGCACCTGCGGCTAACAACCCTGGACAGCCAAACGCTGTCCAGTACCCACCATCAGCAAGGAACAATCGTAACCAGCCAGCAGCATCAGCGAACGACCCTTTCAATCCCGAGGATGCATCTGTTCCAGTCATCAATGTTGCAACCCGTGCTAACCAATTTCGACAAACTATCACTCAGGACGGACTCACCGGTCAACCATGGTTCTTCTACTCTGGACTCGATCGAAAAAAGAAAGACAGCATCTATAAGCGAAATCTTGAGGACAGACTCCAACTCGGACATGGTACGATGCCTTCTATGAATAATGTACTACCGAACGCCGGGGGTGGGGAGTACGCGATCGAGTACAATGCGTTCCAAACTCTCTCCAGTCTTGACTACTACTGGGCTGCGAATTCCAAAGCTTATGCTCAAGCAGTAGAAGGAAGGGTCTACGTTGTACTTCCCAGTGGCCACGGTGTGAATCAACCGTATCCCGACAAGGGCTCGAATTGGTGGACGTTCGAGGTTCCGGATCTTACCCGTAACGCCCGTGTGGATAGTATCACAGTCGTGCCTGTGAAGGAAGACACTTCGAACGTCTACATGGAGCCGGCCGAAGCTTTCCACCTTGGCGAGGAAAATGTAATCTGGAGGAGGGGTGACGAGCCCATTGGCTTCCCAGCAAGTGAGCTGCATCATCTACAGAGGCCTGACGAGCTATGGGAGACTGTTCAGGATGTATACATTCCAAGTTCTCCATAGGAAGTACTGACGCTGATTGACGGAGGAACGCGTTGGGCAACGTAGATGAGGATGTTGGGCGGAGGACGGGGTAGATTGAAGGAGGATGGATATTTCATATGTTGGGCCCGTCATGGTCGCTCACTCTTTCTTGTTTTCTCGTTAATTCACTCGTTTATCTTTTCGGAAATGTGGACTAGAAATATATTGGCACATCGAAACGTATGAAGCCTTGCTTACAGAGCGTACGTCTCCATCATGTTATTGAGCCGCGCCTCGTTAGTTGTGACTAATTGCATCGTCGTATAGTCGCAATATTAACACATGTGGTGTGCGTGGTCGAGATGATTTACCCACATGTGTTGCCGGCGTGAAGTCAAAGCGAAAGACCATCAAGTGGGCCCCGGGGGCTGGCGTGCCTAGGGATAGTATCAGTCATGATCGCATGCGAGGTTTATGCGATGCCGCAAGCTGTCATGCGGGGTAATTGTTCAGAACGTTAGGTCGCGAAGCCGCAGCTGCCCGAGTGTGGTCTGACGGGAGGTTTACAAGCCCTGAAGACTAGCTTCCAGATGTCGGGCGTGACCCTGAGCTAGCCCGATCGACGTGATCGAGGGGCTAGCGCTCTCGCAAGCTACATAGCCCCTTCTGCAAGAAGAGTTTCACACACAGTAACGGTTCATAATCACTTTCGCGTACCACGACTGCTGTTGGCGCTTAAGTTATGCGAGACTTACAACTGTTGGCCCCATCTGTGCCGCACACCTATTCAAGGTTCCGTGCCGCAATAGCGAATACCGCAGAGCGCCCCTGTAAGATATAGGTACAGGTATAATTATATTATAATATCTACTAACTAACTAGTATAGAAGAAAGAACTAAGTACTTATTAAAAAATTATATAATAGCTTTATTTTAGTAAGTAAATAGCTTATAAGCTCTTTTTAAAAACTATATAGATTAAGTATTTTAGTAAAGTAGCTATTAGTCTTTAGTAAAACCTTTTTACTAAAGTAAAAAACTTAAAAAAAAACTTATATATATAAATAAAATAGAAACTAAAGTATTTTCTTTATTAAAGTTAAAAAAGAAAAAACTTATAGTAAGTACTTTAGACTTACCTATAAGTATATAAAAGAAATCTAGTATAATAAGTAAAAAGCTAAGTTATAATATATAAGTAACTATTAATAAGTTAAAGTTATAGTATTACTATATTAAATAAAGATAAAAAAGAAAGCTTTTATTATATTACTAGCTTAGTATACTAGAAATATTATTACTAAAAAAAAAGTAGTATATTAATTAATATATTATAAAGTAAAATATAAAGATAAAACTTTTATAAATTAAATATAGTAAAAAAGAAAGCTTATAGTATAATATATTTTAGTAATTAGCTTTATACTTAAAGTAATAAGTAGACTACTAGATTTATATAATTAGTACTAGTAAAGATATTAAGCTAAAAGATACTTTACTAAATTAGTACTACTATTTTTATAAAGAGTAAAGTATTAGAATACTAAATTATAAAGTATAATAATTAAGTAAGAAGATTATTATAAAAGACGTAATCTAAGTTAGTTAAAGAAATAAGAAGGCTACTTTCTTTCTAAACTCTAGTAAGATTAACCTTATTAGCTTCTTTATTATTCTCTTTTACTAGAAAATTAATAAGCTATTTAGTATTAGAGTAGTAAGTATTATTCTTTTTATTAAGATTATCTAGACTAGTAAGATAAGAAGTTATCTTACACTAGAAGCTAGTCTCTAAAAACCTAGCGTCTATAATATTACTTTTAATTTTACTACTTATAGTTATATTCTTAATAGCTAAATTAGTAAGATATATCTATTACTTAATAGAATATATATAGTATTAAGTAGCTTTTTAAATAAAAGTATTATTTTTATCTTTATCTCTAGTATAAGTACTATTAAAGTTATCTTTTATAGTAGAGTTATAGCTTAGTAAGTATACACTTCTCTTATATAGTAATAATTAATTTATCTAGAACTTACGCTTAGTACTAATAGTAGGTTTAGAAATAGGCTTATATTTAGGTAGAAGTACTTTAATAAGCTTTTTTTTAAGCTTAATCTTAGAAGCTAGCTTCTTTTTAATACTACTATTAAAGCTATTATAGCTATTAAGCTTTTTACTATTAAATAATCTAGTATTATTATTATTTTAAATAAAAGAAGTCTTAAACTACTAGATTTAAAGCTTCTTAGTAACTAAATAAAAGGCTTAAGACTAGTCTACTTTCTTTTTAATTTATACTTTAACTTTATTCTTAGTAAAGTAGACTTTACTAATAAACTAAGTCTTTAGAATAAAATCTAGTCTAGTTTATATAGCGTTATATTAATATAGACTTTTAAAGTTAGTACTTTTAATTTAGAACTCTACTTCTTATAGACGTAAAGTACTATAAGTATTAGATTTAAAATACTTATTACGCTAAAAACTATAGTAGTCTTTTAAATAAAAGTAATTTTACTTAAGTTTATAGTTAGTTTTTACTTTTAGATTACTTTTTTTTCTCTTTTTTTAGTACTTTTATCTAAAAGTAAAGTATCTAATAAGTTAAATAGAAAGATTAGTTACTAAGATTATAAATAGTTATTCTTACTCTAAAGCTTTTTATATAGTAGAAAGTATAAATCTAAGTAAAATTTTTTATCTTATATAAGTCTAAATTATCTAGAAAAATTACTTAAAAAAGTATTTAGTATATATTAGAGTTAATAAGTATATAAAACTTCTTTTTAAACTTTTTATCTAGATCTTTCTTTATAAAGTAGAAGACCTTAGTACTTATTAGTAGAAAAGTCTTAGTAATAGCTTTATACTTCTTTAATTTACTTATAATATTCTCTTATACTTTTTAGTCTTTTTTCTAGTTATATAAAGTAAGTATATATATAGCTAAGTCTTAGACTTTCTAGTAAAAAGTAATATTTTAGACGCTTATACTTTTTTTTAGATCTAAGAGCTCTTTATTAGATATAAAGACTTAGTACTTTTACTTATAAAGTATTTCTATAACTTACTTATTATATTTAATACTATTATTAGAAAGAGTTATATTAAATAGATTCTTAGCTATTATATTATTTTTATTCTTAATTATAAAGAATAAGTAAGCTTTTATAGCTTTCTTACTACTAAACTTTAGTAAAAAGTTATTCTAATATATACTAGTAAAGTTCTTAATCTTCTTAAATATATAATAGTTAAATTACTAACTAATAATACTATTTAGATTCTAAAGACTAATGCTAGTAGATATACTACTATACTTACTTTTAGAATATACTATACTCTATAAGCTAGTAATATAATACTTAATAGTTACTACTATATTATAGTAATATTATTATATAGTTTTATTAACTAGTATATAAATATTATATAGCGTATATATAATAAAAGTAACTATAGTAAAGGTATAATTCTACTAATTCTACTAATTAAATTCTTCTTCTATATTATATATTACTAGATTATACTAGTATTTATAGTAAGAAAATAACTAGGCTTAGATTATAGACACTTTATAATAGCTATCTATAATATTAGAAAAAGCTAGATCTTACGCTTTAACTTAGCTAATATACTAAGTAGTTTTATAGTAGTTATTATAAGCCTTTATAAAAGATTAGTTTTATACTACTTTCTTATTAGTTATAGGTAAGGCTATATTTAGTAAAGGTAGTATAGTTAAGTTCTTAAGATTAAAAAAGCTATATAGTAAGTTAAAGTTATATTCTACTTTAGGCTATAAAGAGAAACTAGACTCTCTATATAGAGAAGAAAGTAGAACTAAAATATATATCTAGAAGCTTATAATACGCTATATTTATTATCTTACTAAGGCGTACTTAAAGTAAAGTATAAAGTATAAAATCTAAAGTATATAGTATAGAAAAAGTGCGTAGCTTAGATAATAGTATAAAAGTAAAATTCTATTATAAAAATAAAGCTTATAAAAGAAGTTATTAAAAGATTATAGTATAAAAAAGATAAAGAAAAGATAGTAAAAGACTATATTAAGTATAGAGTAAAAAAAGTAAAATAAAAAAAGTATAGTAAGTTATAGTAGCTATATAAACTTATTCTTTTTTTACTATCTTAGTAGATTAAGGCTTTTATAATTCTAGTATAAATAGTAAGAAAGTATACTATAAACCTAATATAGAGTATTTAACTTAGATATAATATTAATATTTATTTACTATATAGTATATATATTACTAAGTAGATAGCTACTATAAGTATATTAGTAAAACTAGTAGTAGACGTAAACACTCTAGTAAACTATATAAATAATATAATTAAGCTATTATAAAAATAGAGTAATTAGAAAGAACTACTAGAGAAATTAAGTATATTTTAATTATAATAAACGCTAATAAGAGATACTTAATAGATATTTACTTAATAAGAAAAAATTAAGAAACACTAGTAAGTAGAAAGAAGATAAATACTAAAAGTAAAAAAAGAAATACGCTATAGAACTAAAAAACTAAAAATACTAAAGAAGAAAGTAAAAAGATTAAGTAGAAGCGTAGTATTCTACTAAGTATAAAATTACTTTTTTTCTAGTAAAGAGATCTTTTACTAAGATATTATAAGAAAAAGTTTAATTAATATTTAAGAGTAGAGTACTTTAAGAAACACTACTAGAGCTTACTATTTATAGTTAGGTATTCTTATCTTTCTATACTTTTATAGTACTAAAGTTATAAGCTATTTAGATACTTCTATTATTAAGTTAGTTAGTAAGTCTAAAGTTATACTATTACTATAGAGAAGATAGTGTAAATTATAAAGTATTAACACTATTATTATTATTACTAATATTAGTAATAAGTAATATAGTAGTCTTATTTTATATAATAGCTTCTACTCTAGAGTCTAGTATAAAGCTTAGAATATAATAGTTATAAGTATTTTTTTATATTTACTAGCTTTAAATATAGTTCTACTTATATACTTTCTACTTAGTAAA